ATGAACAGCAAGCCCACCCGTGCACCCTGAGTTGCCATGTAAGGGGAGGTAATCTTGAGTAAGTGCCACACCACAAGACATAATCTATATGGCGGTGGTCTGTAAATAATCGAGTATAAGCAGATAACCCAGTGATTAACAACATGATCATCGATCTACACATTTGAGATACGATGACAGGTGTCAACCCAGTCAGCGAGCCCAACCGAGACCACCTGATCTCGTTTGTCGATTGTCGACAATCATGGGTTGCTGAAGACCAGTTCTAACCTGGACCTTCACGGATCTCTACAGCGTTTAAATATAGACAAAACACATAAATGTATTTTGCAATGTTCGTTTAGGTTATTTTACGCCACTTCGAGCAACAGTCGAGCTGTACATCATGGGAGACTTCAGACAACTGATAAGCGTCTAATAAACTGACTGATTGATTTGTTTTTTTACGCCGCTTTTAGCAATATTCCGTCAACATCACGGCGGGGGACACCAGAAATGGGCTTCAGCGTCTAATAGAGGACAGCCATCGTCCAAATACTTCTAAAGACCAAAAACTATATAACCAAGCCATTTGATACTTATTTGTAATTATTTAATCTGCTTCCTTAATCTTTATCGCTACCGCAGGGTACATTGTCTTGTCAGCCACCCTGTACCACTCTCTCACTTTCATTAATTACTGTATGTGACATTTATAGCCTTATTTGGTCATCCCCCTTAACCATGTCTGCCATCACATCAACTGGTTCAAGGTAGTGCTATCGTTTCTCTATCTGTCCATTGTTGAGTCATCGCCTGTCCATTGTTGTCAAAAACTGTATATATGTTCAGATCTATATTGTCAACAGTCTGGTCTTTCGAGTGCCCGTGTAGGGACGACCGCGAGCAGGATAATGCCGCTCGTAGGAAACGCCCTGGGGTTGAGCTGGAACTCCGCTCACCTCACTTATGTCTTGTGTATTTGTTCATCATGTGCTGTAGAGTCAACTAAAGAAATCTCCGTCAACTATTCCTCCGTCTTCATCAACATATAATACGTCTTAAATCGAGCTAATTCCCCTGTCGACCATATCTACTACGTCTAAGGCTGCTTTATGGAAAGCATCGGAATACTCACTCTCCAGACTCCAGAGAGTGCACAACAGTGCAGCCAGAGTAATCACCAACACCAGACGTCGAGATCACATCTCCCCGGTCTTACAAGACCTCCATTGGCTGCCAGTGAGACAACGTATCCAGTTCAAGATCCTGGTGTTTGCCTTCAAATCACTGCATGGTCTAGCTCCTGAGTATATCAGTGAACTCCCATCAACTTACACTCCAGGGAGGGATCTTAGGTCAAGACCATCAAGAGCACTGGATGTTCCTATGACTAGGAAAAGACACTATGGAGATAGATCGTTCTCCAAAGCCTGGCCCTGGCTCTGGAACCGTCTTCCTCGGCACATTCAGAACATTGTCAATCTCGACCAATTTAAACGACAACAAAACCCACTTGTTCAACATAGCCTTCGCCTAAGCACCTTTGAGCAATATGTTGGAACAGGCGCTATACAAATATTAACTTTATTTATTTATTATAACATCACGGCGTACGCGGGTGAACAAGATGTGGGAAGAAAGCCCTTTGTTCACTGGTCCTAAACGTTTACAGCTTTGGTCAAACTCACGAGTTCAGGTTTGGTGCCTAGACACCAGATGGAATCCGTGTTCCGAACCTGCAGGATCTAAACACAGAATCACAATTTGTTTAAAGACCCGACGGACTCAACTCACTGGTCAACGCCCTAGACTGCTGCTTACGATGACATCAAAAAGAATAGATAAATAACACACACACACACACACACACACAGAAACCCCCACCCACCCATTCCCCCAACTACTGACGTCACAATGGAGTGTTAGGATCTGCATGTAAGTCAATACTACAGAAGTAATTTCTGTACAATAGAAGTTATGTATATTCTGATGTCAACACAAAAGCCAAAACACACGTCTATTTTCCAATGGCCCTTTTCATTGTACTTCACATTGAGCAATATGCCAGCCGTGTGAAGACAGTACTACTGGTATCATGCGTTGAATCGCCACCCATGGGTCCAGTAGCTGGGTAATGATGTTTAAAACTAATGATGAGGACGACGAACCAAGCCATGATTGCACCCAGCGATACATCACAGCGATGTTACGAGTTTGTCTGTAGTACACAGGACTCAGCGAAGTGTTCATAGAATATTCCTTGACTGCACAAAAAGTGGTTTGTAGAGCTGACATATGCGCCAAAGGGTATGTTCGTTGACCCGAATCGTCCAAGGAGGGGATCGGATGGTTGTCTAGATCTGGGACGAGACAAGTCCTGGCTTGTTGGACAGATCGCCAAGTTCAAACCCCATGGACGTGCGCAGTAGTGATAATAAACTTCAGTGAAGTGATTCTGTCTCGCACTCTCTCGAGATTCTAAAACGCCGCAACTATACTAGGCACATAAAGAAACTGTGCATACAAAAATTTAAAATCTAAATTTATCAAACCTGCGTAGACACATAAGGATTTAAACTCATAGATTAGTGACATGTATCCAGCATGCATGCACGTGCCACGTTCCGTGACGTCAGTGGGTTCGTCCTGGAGACGTGCAATACGTTGTTTCCAGTGCATTCCGGGAAAGAGAAACAGAGCAAGCGAATCCCACACAATACTGTCACTTTGGAAAGCTCAATCCCTGCCCTTGCCATCGTTCAAAAAATTAAACGGCTATTGAAACGCATAGCAAGCCAAGGCTCACGTCTGCACAACGTCATGAGGCCATTGGAATGGTCTGTGGGGGAATGTCTCAACGACAAGTGGCTGCACATTCCACTACAACCGGAACACCATTTCTGCACTGGTGAGACGCTACCAGAACACAAATGACGTCATCGATCGGCCACGTTCTGGACGTCCACGTGTAACAACGCCAAGAGAGGACAGATGGATAAGGGTGACCCATCTTCGCCACAGGTTTCAGACTGCAGTGATGACTGCCCGAACCATCCCAGGACTTCGCCGTATCCACCCCAACACAGTTCGACAATGTTTACATCATCACGGGATCAGATCACGTCGTCCCGCCATACGGCCTATCCTGACACAACATCACAATGTGGTGCCGAAATCCTGTCCGCCGACCCTTGTTTTGGTGGAGAGATGTTGTTTTTACAGTCCAGGTTTAACATTTCCCATAGTGATGGACGTCAACGTGCCTATAGACGTGTGGGAGAACGTTATGCACAGGCCTGTGTCTTGGAGAGGAATCGCTTTGGTGGTGGTTCCGTACGTGTGATGATTTGGGGTGGAATAACAGCACGCCAAAGAACTCCTTTGGTGATTGTTCAGGGCAACTAAACTGGTGTGGGCTACAGGGATCAGATTCTTCGACCTGTGGCAATTCCTTTTCTGCAACGTCATGGCCCTGGGTTAACATTCCAACAGGACAATGCCCACCCTCATACGGCAAGGCTTGCTATGGATTTCTTGCAACACCACAGCGTTGACTTACTGCCTTGGCCTGCAAATTCACCTGATCTCTCCCCGATAGAGCATGTTTGGGACGAGATTGATCGACGTCTACGCCGTCTTCCTCATCCGCCAGAAAACGTCCTTGACTTTGTAACAGAACTTGGGAGAATCTGGCGTGATATCCTACAGGCCTTCCTTGTATGTATGATAGGCTCTATGAGTCGTCGATGCACTGCTGTTCTCGATGCCGATGGTGGACATACCCGTTATTGAACTTGTGACATGGTCGTTTGACCCCTGTCCCGCTTGTGGACTCGTGGCGTCATAGTGATTGATTTTTCAACTGAAATTCTCCCAACTTGTTATGGTCTCATGATCCCTCCATTTAAGTTTATATGTACCTTTGACATTTGTTATCGTACTTATCAACTGGGATAATATTTTGACAATGCACATTTTCTTTATGTGGTTAGTATAGTTAACCTCGATCTGGGTAATACAAGGACGAGGGGGTAAATCAGCGATGCTTCATATAGAATGCAGTAACTAGATCATCTGGTGTCTTGCTCTAAGCGAGCATAGATGGCAAGTCTACTGTCTCGATACTGTTGTCTGGTTTGGAGATCTCCAAGAACACTGTGAATCCTCATGTATATCTGCAGAGTACTTGATTGTGTAAAATGTTTCCAATATTCATTCATAAGGTTTGATTCCACTGTGAATCCTCATGTGTGCCTGCAGATGAACGGATTGTGTCAATGTTTGCTCTCATATAGGGCACTGATGAGGCTTCATTCCAATGTGGATTTTCATGTGTTCCTGAAGGTCACCTGATTTTGCAAAGTTTTTCCCACACACAATGCAATGATGAGGTTTGATTCCACAGTGAATCTTCATATGATTCTGAAGTTTACACGACTGTGTAACTTTGTTCCAACATTCAACATATTCATAAGGCTTAATTCCACTGTGAATCCTCGTGTCTTCCTGCGGAGTACCTGATTGTGTCAATAATTTCTCACATACAACGCACTGTTGAGGTTTCATTCCACCGTGAATCTTCATGTGTCTCCGAAGGTTTTTCGACTATGAAAACATTTTCCCGCATTCAACACATTCATAAGGCTTGATCCCACTGTGAATTCTCATGTGTGTCTGCAGACTATCTGATTGTGTGAACTTTTTCCCACATTCAACACATTCATAAGGCTTGATTCCATTGTGAATTCTCATGTGTGTCTGCAAACTACTTAAATGTGTAAATATCTTCCCACATTCAAAACATTCACAAGGCTTGATTCCTGTGTCAATTTTCATGTGTGTCTGAAGGCCACCTGAATTTCTAAATGCTTCTCACACACAATGCACTGATAAGGTTTTATCCCACCGTGAATCTTCATGTGTTTCTTAAGATAACTTGAATGTGCAAACGTTTTCACATTCAACACATTCGTGAGAATTGATTCGTGTGTGAATTCTCATGTGTGTCTGAAGGTCACGTGAGTGTGTAAATGTTTTCTCACACACAATGTACTGATGAGGTTTGATTCCACTGTGAATCTTCATGCGTTTCTTAAGATTACTTGAATGTGTAAATTCGTTCCCACATTCAACACATTCATATGCTTGATTCCACTGTGAATCCTCGTGTGTATCCGCAGACTCTTGGAATGTGTAAATGTTGTAATATTTTTCAAGCAATCAACACATTCATTGGGCTTGATTCCAGTGTGAGTCTTCATGTGTGTCTGAAGATTAACTGATAGTGTGGATGTTTTCCGACATTCAGCACACTCAATAGTATGTATTCCACTATGACAGAGCAGACGCCTTTCCAAGTCACCTGACTTAGAAAATGTTTCGTACCTCTCTCAACACATATGAGACTGCTTCGATGGACCACTATGATTTTCATCATTTCCACACTATCTGTTTCCAGAGTTCCAATAACATGTTCGTTCGTGAGATTTCCAGGTTTCCAGTCATAGTTTCTCTCTTGAGATCACCAGTTTCCAGGTTTGCAATTATGGGTTCTCTCATGAGATCACCAGTTTCCAAGGTGTCAATAAAAATGTTCCCCGAGATCTCCAGTTTTCAGCAAACCCCTTCAACATATTTCATATGTTTCAGTGACATTCTGTGGATTTCCACTTCCGTCTTTACTCTGAGGATCTTATGGTGTTTGCTGAAAACATAAATAGAGATTACTAAACGAGTGTCTGTCAGATATCATTTATCTTACAACGAGTTGTTTCAAAACGTATTTAACGAGCGTGTAATCCGTTTCTTACACACAATAAAATCGCACAATTATATGGTCGAATAGATTCAAATTCCATGTTTTCTCATTGTAAGTGCGCAATAATACACAACACGTTTATGAATGAGTGACGTCACTTGGCTTCCTAATCACTACTCATCCCCATGGTGACCCTCCACAAAAAGGTTTCTGCCACCTTTTCGCATCCTTAAGGCAATGGTGATAATGATAACTAGACAAGATCACAGAAAATTAATTAAACCCTCTAAAACGATGATGTTACCATGCAAATGTGGTGGTTTTAATTCTTGCATCGTTATCGCTTGGTGGTTGTCGTCATCAGAAGATTGTTTTTGATATCTCTGCACATTGAGGATTTGTACTTGTGTACCAGTTTACGTTCAATGTTCTCCCATCTTTTGAGTGTGTGTAATTAGGTGCACCCAGTGTGCTTGAATGTGACATTGCTGAGGTTACGTTCACTATTAACGGGGAACTACTCTCCTTCGCCACATCCTTCTCGTTTTCCGGAGCCAGAAACTGCCACTTGGAATGCAATGGAATTTACGGAGTTTTCAGCATGGAATGTGAGTTGATTACACCCTGTAAGTTATCAAGACATAAACGTTTCATTATCATGCGTCGGAGGAATATCTTGAGCAATGACTTATGTGTAAATCAACCGTTCCTGTACATGTTCGATTGAATAGAAAGGACGTGTGCGCCATTTGCAGTCATGAACCCTTGCAAAACGTACCATGTCGTACATTCTTTCAACGAGTGTATTTTGGTTCTGATTGTCATGAGTGAATTTGATAACATTGGAATCACATAGTATCTCGGAGCTGGAAGTGGGTCTTTATCAAGTGTATCAGTGAAAAATGTCATCTTCATCAATGCATCAAAGAAACAACAAGTCAAATCGATCTCACCATGGACAGGCACTTACGTTATCGTGTCAGGTATTTTTACAAGACGACACATGACACTTGTCGCATCAGTAAAAGTACCAGTGTTGTACATTTTGAATATTCGAAGGGAATCAAGGGCTTTATCTCTAACGGTGATTTCACATAATTGTTTACACAGGAATCACTGATTGTTGGAGCCATTTTGAATTCATGACTAGGAATCAAAAGTTTTAATAAAAGGAATTAGAAACTAAATAGATTCGTGTTATATTTATTCTACTTGTGACTCATTGTATAAATACCTGTTTATGTTGCAATCACGAAAATAACAGGTAGGTGTAAAGGGGTATTTTGGCACGAGTAACAGGTTTCTGTTCGATTGAAGCCATCACCATGGAGTAGCCAATCACGGGATTAGAAATGGATCTCACACATATGTGTGATACCAGTTTTCTCACATGGGTTTCTCACCCACGGGCGTGTAAGAAGAAACATTGTCACACTCTTATAACATCTAGGGTACTGACCATACACAATATGATTGCATGACACGTTGCATGATAACAATCCTGATACTTTAAGAATGTCTTCCCACACACAACACACTATACACAACTTAGCTGAGTGATTTTCAACATTCAGTGTGGAAAATGCCAATGACGGGATGTATATTTATCCTCGCTATAGTCTTACAATGATTTGTATTCAGCTGACTGACATCCATAATTTGACATATTTAAGGGCTATGACTAGTTCATCTTATCAAAACAAAACACAAATAGTTGCTCTGCAAACCGGTGTACATGTGATATACTGCACTGTGTACAATTTGTTAAAAGCAATGCATATATTCGATTATTATTCATTTAGTCCTAATATTGTCATCAGCACACACAAAGTTTAAAAGCACAGCACTGAAATAATTCAAATATGACATCTTTGATGAATTTAGTTACGTAATAGTATTGCACATTCAAAATTAATGTTTTTCCATATAAATATCACTTAGATTTAGATATCACGAGGGTGACACACCCAAACATTAACCGCCTGAAGCACCTTTAGATCCAGCAACAGAACCTTTCGTGGGGAGACAAGTTTTAGACATTCAACAACGTGTATGTTTGTCCTTGTAAAGAAAGGCCGAGGTCATACCACCATGATCGGTAAAAAATAATATGCACCTCGTCATAAATATCGAACCACTCACTTTTCTTATCTTGCTACAGCCTTGCATGAGAGGAGTGGGCCAATTTTGTTAAATCTGTTATATTTAGATATGGTTTGGTTTCGTATGGTTGTTTCCTGATTGTGTTGATGCAAAATACTTTTGTAAAGTGATTAAACAACGTTTGTGCACAACTGGAAAAGCGAAATTGTCCAAAGAACTAAACTTGCTCTGTATAATGATATCTTCAAAAGTGTCTCTCATTTTATATAACACGTTTAGGAATATATTATCTCATAAATTAAAAATTGAATCAGGTCACTATTTGATATTCAAGGAAATGATAGATTGTGTTATTTTGTAATGAACATGGCATTTCTGTAATTGAAGATGAATTTCACTATATTTGTGTGTGTAAAAAGTACGATGTTTATAGAGTCAAATACATAAGTCGTTATGTTTTAGAGTGTCAGTCAAAACATGAATGTGTCAAACTGTTGAAGTCCACTAATAAAAACACTCTTTAAAATTTATCAAAGATTGTATATATCGTAAATAATTCATGTTCTGCCTCATACTGTTATTTATTTTGCTTAACGTCGCACGCACAACTTCGGCGACGGGATAGTACACTTATAAAGAAATTAGGGGAACAAAAAGAAATTTTTAAAGAGTGGTGGTGTACTACCAAGAAAAAACAACAACAACAACAAAAGGACCCAAAGACTGATTATTAAGGGAAATTTGAATGGGAGGTCGAATTAAAATGATACAAAAATATGAAATAAGTAAAGAGTAATAGAGATTTGGAATTTAGTATAGATGTAGTGCAGTAAGTGGTTATTGCCATTGTTATTGTGCTGTTTTAACCAACCCATGATTAAAAGCATCTTTATTATGTGAATAATCGTAAACATATAAAAGGTTAAAAATGAAGTTGATAAAAAGAGAGAACTAATTTGAAAAGTTAAAAGAACATATATACATATTCATAACAATTTGTAAAATGGTAAAAGTGGAGTTATTGTTTTCGTTGCTATATTGTTTGGTATAATTTTGTATGAATGAGATATTTAGTGAGTGGTTAATTAACCTGGGATTGTTAGAATGTGCAGAAGATCAGAAGAGTTGGCATTGTTGAGGTACTGTTTTAAAGCATTGGTAAATGGGGTTGTTTGTTTATTATATTTTGAGCAGTAAAAAAGGTAGTGTGGGCTATTGTTTCATGAATTTGGCAAGTGATACATTTGCCGTTTGGATGAAGGTAGATTTTGTGTAGATAGTGATTAAGATTGCAATTTGCTAGTCTTAGTCTGGTTATGGCAACATCAATTTGGTGATAATTCTTACAATAAGTATTGAGTGTTTGTTGAATTTGGTAGAATGGATAATGTTTTCCTATTAGTTGCCACTTGTAATTGAATTAATCTATTATTATATTGTCAACTTTATTTGTTATGTGTGTTTTGGAGTAAGGTATTTTCATTTTTGGTTTTTTGAGTGGAGTCCAAGTTTGGCAGCTTGGTCTGCCATTTCGTTGCAATGGATCCCGATATGTGACGGGACCCAGATAAAATGTATTTCATTATTTTTATTTTGTGGTAGTATTCTTCTGTACATATCATTTATTAGATCTGGTCCTTGTGTTATACAGTAATGTTTGAGAGCTTGTGTGGAGCTTAAGGAATCCGTAAAAATGCAGACTATGGTAGTGTTTGTTTGGTCAGACGTTGTTTGCAAGGCCTGAACTATGGCTGCGAGCTCTGCTGTAAAGAAACTGGAGTTTGCTGGGAGAATATAGGATTGTTTAAGGCTTTTTTGGGGGGGTATGTAGATACCAAAACCAGTATTTCCATTTTCGTCCTTATATCCGTCAGTGTATAGATGTGTGTGTGTATCTTGTGGGTTGTAATTTTGTTGTATGAAGTATTTCCATTTTCGTCCTTAGATCAGTCAGAATAGATATAAGAATATTGTGTTCAGTAATTTTGTGTTGTATGAATTCTTGCAGCAACACTTTATCAAGAGATTTGTAGTGTGGGTTTGTGTTAATTTTGGCAGCAACACTGGAGGAAAGAGATTTGTAATATGGGTTTGTATTATATCCTGTAGTATATAAATCAAGTTGTTGTTTAATTTCCTGTATATTTTGTCCAAAAGGTTTGGGGTATTTGCCTTTGTGGATAATGAGTTTAGTTATATTCTTAAGAGATGCAGTAGTGGTTTTCAGTTTCGTTTGTAATGGGGTTGTTAAGGGATCGAGTTACATATTTCATTGTACATCTTTCCCATTCGAGAGTGAGGTCTA